TTATTTATTGATCAATCAGAACAACTTGACATACAAACCATCCCCCAGCACAGCCAAGTGCAGACCATCTCAGACACCTGCACTCAGGCCCATGGTCCTAATCATCCTCTATGCGGACCTGCTGGGTAACGCCACAAAGAACCCAAGAAGGGCTCCCACAGGACATACAGAACATCCCACAGCACTGTTTACTTCTTGGCTTGTTTTCACAGATGTCTTTATTAAATTTCAAGCATCTGTAAAAGTAGAGAAAGCAAAAACTAAGCTCTTGTATACTATTTGTTATTCTGACAACAACCAACTCCTTCAAAGAAATGTCAGGTGCTCCCAGGGATGAGGAGTCCCCAGCATCTAATAAGAAAATGTGCCTCTGTAGTCTGTTTCTTCTGTAAAGATGCCCTGTTGCTGGCAGTGACTGGCGTGGAGAACTCCTTTCAGTGAATATTGACAGTGGAAAGAGCTGATGTAAATAACTATATTTTTCTCTTTGAAATGATCGCCAGTACTAAGAACTTGTAGAGCAGCCGCCTAACAGCTACAAATGTGTGGCTTGGCCCCTGGAGACCAGGTTCCTTTGGCTAGTCAGAGCTCTGCTCGCACAGTAGGAGAGCTTAAAAGGCCCCGGTGGTTCCAGCGTGCAGCGGAGAGCCTGTTTAGGGCTCTCTGTTTGGGATTTCACACCTGAGCGGAGCGCTGCCCTCCATCCTCACTGTTTACCTGTCACAGCACAGAACAGGCTCCCGCCAGCTGGTCGAGATGCTTGTCTGAGCAGATATAAGTTAAAATCCTGTTCTATTCTGCCACCAAAATCTTCTTTAAATTGCATCTATCATGAATCAAGACTTTTTTCTAAGTGTGTGTAAATTTTAAATAACATGTGCCTAATACCCAGGGAGGTATACCAAATACCAAAAGAGGGCATTGGACCCCCTGGAACTGGAGTTACAGATGGTTGTGAGCCACATGACATGTGTGTTGGGAATTGAACCCAGGTCCTCTGGAAAGAAGAGCCAGTGTTTTAAACCCTGAGCCCCTTTTGGTTTTTTAAGTATTAGTTAGACAGTATTAAATATACTTATTTAGCGTGTATGCCAGAGACTTTTTGGATCAGCAGTGTAGAAGCCAGGCGGTGGTGGCGCAGCCTTTAATCCCAGCATGGCAGAGGCAGGCAGATCTCTGTGAGTTCAAGGCCAGCCTGGGCTACAGAGTTCGTTCCAGGAAAGGCACCAAAGCTACATAGAGAAACCCTGTCTTGAAAAACCAAAAGGAAAAAAGAAACTTTTTATTTTGCTATTCTGCTAATATAATAGATATACTGCAAGATAAAAACAAAATTTCTGGTGGTGTAAATGAGACCCCATAGACTCATGTTTGAATATTTGGTCTCCATTGTTGGAACCTTTTAGGAAGGATTAGGAGGTGTGGCCTTGTTGGAGGAGGTGTGTCTCTAGGGTGGGCTTTGAGGTTTCAAAAGCCCAGGCCATTCCCAGTCGGCTCTTTCTCCCTCTCTGCTTATGGTCAGACGTGAGCTCCCAGCTACTGCTCCAGCGCCACACCTGCCCCTGCCATGCTCCCTGCCGTGGCGGTCACGGCCTCACCCTCTGAAGCTGTAAGCCCCAGTACACTTCTCTGTAAGTCGCCTTGGTCATGGTGCTTTGTCGTAGCAATGGAAACATAACTAAGAGCCTCTTACTTGTATTTCCCCAGTACCTGCGACAGTGGTGTGAGTTACATGTGTGCTACATTTTTTTTCCCCTGAATGACAAAAATGAACTCGTGAAATCTTAAATATATGTTAACTGAGGGGTTTAACAACAACAACAAAAACCAAAAACCAGAATTTTAGGCCTGATGGTGCACATCTTTAATCCAGGTACTCAGAGGCAGAGGAAGGCCAATCTGTGTAAGTTCCAGGCCAGTCCAGGGATACACAGTGAGACACCTCTTTAAAAAAAATCCAAAGGAGAGGCCATGCTGGACTATTTTGTTATTTTTATGTCCACACTTACCCTACTGTTTCAGCTCTTCATGGTTATGTGCTTGCTGGGTTTCATTTTATTTGCTGCAAGAGGACAGCGACGAGAAAAGCCCTCTCTCATGGCACGTCATCCTGCCAGGGGGCTGTATGCATGTTTCCGTGTCACGTGTTATTACGTGGCCATGTTACGTAGCCATGTGCTCTTTCACCTTTCCAGTATGTTCTCCATTTCTTCTAAGAAGCTGGGAGCAGGGCGGTAACTGAAGAGTGAGAAGGTTTCAGTTTTAGATCACCTGGGGAGCAGCAGTGAGAGGTGCATTTGAATAAAGGGCTCACAGGAGGTCGGGAGCACGCTGTTTCTGTGTGAAGTCATCAGACACAGGGCCTGAAAACGGCTATGGCGTGGCTCAGCAGGTAAACAGGCCTGTGCACACCTGTGGAAATAGCTTGGTCCCCTGGCTCAGCAGGTAAACAGGCCTGTGCACACCTGTGGACATGGCCTGGTCCCCTGGCTCAGCAGGTAAACAGGCCTGTGCACACCTGTGGACATGGCCTGGTCCCCTAAACCCACACAGGTGGCAGAAGTGAACCAGCTCCACCGAGTTGTACCTGGACCTCCTCCATATGTGCACCGTGGCGCACACACTCAACACACATCATAGGCACGCACTAAAAAATAAAAAAATTTGCTGGGCAGTGGTGGCGCATGCAGAGCCAGGCGGATCCCGGTGAGTTCGGGGCCAGCCTGGTCTACAGAGGGAGTTCCAGGACAGGCACCAAAGCTACACAGAGAAACCCTGTCTCAAAAAAACTAATAAATAAAAAAATAGAAATAAAAATGTAAAAAAATGAAGAAACCTGGAAATGGGGCTGGAGAGATGGCTCAGTGGTTAAGAGCACTGGCTGCTCTTCTGGAGGACCTGAGTTCAGTTCTTAATGCCCACATGGTGACTCACAGCTATCTGTAACTGCAGTTCCAAGGGATCTGATGCCCTCTTCTGCCCCCACCCCCCCGGGCACTGCACACACATGGGGCACAGACACACATGCAGGAGAAACACCATACATATAAAATAAATGAAAAGCAAAACCTGGAAACAAGAGTGAGCCTGAATAGTCGTTGAACATTTAGGATGCTGATAAGCCTGGGAAAGTGAGCAATGGCCAGTAGAAAACAATCTGTGTGCAGAGCCATGAACTGGGGGTCGGGAATAGAACGACCTACCCCTGCCAGAACAGGAGTGTGTGCATGCATGTCACATGTGCCGAGTAGACCATCCGATACAGAAACTGGGCTTCAGGAAGAGGTCCAGACTGGAGCTGGAAGGTCTGAGTCAGCCTTGGTTGTCTTGGTGCTGTAAGGCAGGATAAAATCACCAAAGGAAGTGTTTGCAGAGAAAGCCCAGGGTGCTCAGGTCAGGAAGTCTGCCATGATACCAGGGAGGAGGGGACCAGGTAGAGACCGTCATGGAGGGACCGCTCTGCTCAGCTGTGCCAGAGCCGGCTGGTAGGTGAAGGGAGGAGGGTCTGGCAGCGTGTGCCTTTGGGACACTTGATCTTTGTAGAAGCCTGCGAGGAAACATAGTTCTGTTGAGCTTTCTGTACCAGGGACTCTATCTATCTGTCTGTCTGTCTATCTATTCCCTCCCCCTCTCTCTCTGTCTCTGTCTCTCTGTCTCTGTCTCTGTCTCTCTCTCTCTCTCTCTCTCTCTCTCTCTCCCTCTCCCTCTCCCTCTCCCTATCATCCATCCATCTGTCCATCCATCAATTCATCCATCTATCCATCCATCCCATCCATCCATCCATCCATCCATCCATCCATCCATCCATCCATCCATCCATCTATACCTGGCTGGACTTGTAATAGCTCTATAGACCAGGCTAGACTCAAACTTACAGAGATTCCCCTGCCTCTGCCTCTCCAGTGTTGGGATCAAAGGCATGTACTACCACACCCAGCTTAACATTTTATATTATTAGTAGGTATTGGAGTCTCTAACACCAGTACGTGACAGAGTTGGGCTAATCTCCACATTAGCTGACTCTTATACTGTGCTGCCTTTTTATAGCTAGACTTTTTATTAATTTTGAAAAACATTCTAAACTGTAGAGAAAATCCAGACTGATAAAATAATAGGTTTTAAGTTTTTTAAAGTTTCTCTCAGATGTTCAGGAACGACTATAAGCTGCTTGTTCTGGGCACCTGTAATGAACAGGTGAAAAATGCAGAGATTTCTTCTCCGGCAAGAGAAAAGTAGTAATATGTTAGGAGGTAATGTGCGGTGTAAAAAGGAAGGGAAATGCAAGAACGTTGGGAATGTTAGACTGAGGAGAGGTGGGCGGGGATGTTTGTCTCGGGAGAGGTACTGAGGAAGACAGTGTGAGCACCTGGTGCTGTGAATGCCTGTGTCCGTCTGGGCCTTGTTTTCACTTTTGTTCTATCTGCACATGTCCACAGACAGTGCTTATCTCACCCATTCTTGATAATGAAAATGATGCCATGCCATACTTGGTTTCATTCACAAAATGATTTTCTAGCATATATAAATCTAGGTCATTCATATTAATGGTTGTTTAATACTCTAAATATGCTACAATTTATTTCCCTCTATTATAAGCAATATTTTGGTAAAGATTTCTATAGGTCATTATATGTAAATGAAAGTACTTTTAAGTCTTTATATGTATGTAAGGCACTCATATTCCAGATTTATTAGGTATTGCTAAAAACTTCAATTTCTTCTAGCAAAAACCTGTTCTTACAGTTTGGTGAGCTGGCACTCATATTCTGTAGATTATGGCATCCCTTGCTGCCAACCAAGAACAAGTCAAAAAGTGCTCGAGTATTAGGTAAAACCAGGGTCAGAGCGACTTACCTTGTTAGCTTCAATGGGTGGTGATATGGACCATGGACATTTGTGTCTATTTTAATAAATGTGATCTCATTTCCCTCGTGATTCTCATAATCCTGTTCTAATAATACTATTGCTATAACTATGTAAGAGGGACTGGAATGCTTCCTGTTGAGATTGTTACTGTCTGCAGCTGATCTCAGAAGCGAAGTAAGCTTGGGCTGTTACAGCTGGGCTGGGAGACTGGCAGCATCTAACCTTGACTAACACCTGCAGTATCTCACCACTGACCTTACCCTGTGAAACAGAACAGGTATTTAGAACTACCTCTTAGCAGGGCGATGGTGGCGCACGCCTTTCATCCCAGCACTCGGGAGGCAGAGGCAGGCGGATCTCTGTGAGTTCTAGGCCAGCCTGGGATACAGAGCGAGTTCTAGGACAGCCAGAGTTACACAGAAAAATCGTCTTGAAAAACCAAAAAATAAAATAAAAAAATAAAAGAACTACCTCTTTGACACATTAAATCGTAATTCTTATCGAGAACTAAAATTCGAAGGTAAATCCTGATGTCTTTCAGATTATCCAATCGAAACATTATCCACAAGCCGGTGGAATGGACTTTAATCGCTGTGGTGTTGCTGACCGTGTAAGTACTTTCAGATTCTGTCTCTGTTGGGCAGTCACTGGTTTACACACTGCCTTGGAGGATGGCGTGGCTATATTTGAGATGCTGTAATTGTTTCTTTGTATCTCTACTATCTTAAGAAAACCTAGTCCTCATAAGTGTTGTTTATCTTTTGTTAGAGAACATCCTATGTCAAGGTTTATGCAACAGTCTCTTACATTTCATTGTTAATGTCTGTTCTCCTAAGGCTGAGTGCCATTGTCTCATATCTGTGTTTTTTAACATAGTTTGTCTTTAATAGTAATGGAAAGTAATAACTTTTATTTTCTAAATGTGTATTTTAGAATCGAACAGATTTAAAGGAGCTAAGGTAAACACTTACTGCACACGTATACATAAAACATTTAAAGCTCACTCACCTTTTAAGAAACCACTGGTGGTTTCTAGGCTATTTTTCAAAAAGGTTAAAGGCATTTATTAGGTGGAGTGTTTTTCAGCATGAATTGGAAGACTCTTTGGAGATCATTCCTCACTGCATTACTGTTGCTTGCTGGGTCATTGAAGCCGATAGGCAATTGAAAACTTAGGGATGCTCACAGGTCACCTCAGGCGTCTCGGCCCTGCTCTCTCTCTGTGCTGTGGCTTTGGTCTGACATGTGCTTTCCCTGTCCCCAGGTGTGTGGGCAGGATTAGGTAGGCTTCAGTGAGCCAGAATCTGTGTCACCCAACCAGATACAACTCACATGATTCATTAAATCAGAACACAGAAAATAACTTTACTTGAATGCTCTGATATAAATTTTTAATCAACCCTAAGAACAAATCTTTTGTTATTTCTACTATTCAGTGTTCCAGTTGAATTGGCAGTTCATGAAAAATATCTTATTAATTTTTAAAAGGTTTTTCTACTTTATTAAATGTATAAATATTTTGGTCACTGACAGAGAAAATATCAATAACTGTGCTCACCCACAGTGTCATATGCCTAGTAATAAATGCTCATAGACAACTGTCTACCTCTACTTTTGTAATTTATTATGCCATGAGGGAAGCAGTGTTTGGATTGACATGTTAGAGACATGAACAGGAATCTCATAGTCTTGTTTCTACAACTGAAGACATACTAGGCCCTATCCTTTTTGTATTAAACTATTGCCACATCTCCAAAATGTTCAGCAAGGAATAAAAAGAAGTATGAGAAACACAATAATAAAATATACTGTTAAAATTCATATAATTATTCCAACAAAGCTCTGGCCTGGAAAGCTGCATCAGTCAGCAGAGTGCCCGCTGAGCAAGCAGAAGGACCTGAGTCTGGACCCCAGCACCCATAGAGAAGCCAGGTGTGGCGGCGTCTGTCCCTCCAACATGTGATGGGTGGGAGACAAGCAGACCCCAAAGTTCACTGATCAACTAGCTTACCTGAATCGACGAGCTCCAGGTTCAGTGAGAGACCCTGTCTCAAAAAATAAAGTGGAGAGCAATTAAGGAAGGCAGCCAAAATCAAGCTCTGACCTCTACACATATGTATGCACATGCTCACCAGCATGAACATGTACATACATCCAGACAAGAATATATACCATAATACACACACAGATATTTTAAAACCTAAAAAAAATTTAAGGAAACTTTTGTTTTTAACAGAGGCACCATATGACAAAACAGACACTGCTATCTGGTTCTTTCTTGTACCCTTTGGCCTCTGGGTTTCGGTGTGATGACCCTTTGGAGAGGTGACATCCCTGGATTCAGTTGTGCACTTCTGATGTGAATTAAGTTTCCCATGCGCAGCTTAAGCCTGTAGCTGTAAGCATGACTGTGTGTCCTTAGTCACTCTCCTTATGACCCCACACCTTGGTCTAACCACCCCAGCCATTGGTCCTCTTGGTGTGTAGACAGCGTAGTCATTTCTAGAGCGAGTCCTTGGCTTCCTTTAAAATCATTGGTCGCTGTAGATCCCATGTCACAAGGAACTTGGTGGGTTTTGGTTTTGAAAGCTTGTGTTAGAACTGTGACTTTTGCCACAGGTTTCCTTGACAGTCCCCAGCAAGTCTGCTTGCTCTCTGCAGCTCAGGTTCAGGGGCCTCTCTTTATCCTTGATCACTAGCTCCCAAGACTTCCATCTCAGTACATGTTACTTTCTTTCTTATTCCTTTTTTCAGAAAGTCCCTTTTAGCTTTTTACATTTACCCCAGGGAACCTGTTGATTAGCTATTAGTCCCTTTTGTTTACAACTCTGTCTTTTCTTTTGTTTTTTTTGGGTTTTTTGTTTGTTTGTTTTGTTTTGTTTTTTGAGACAGGTTTCTCTGTGTGGTTTTGGTGCCTGTCCTGGAACTCGCTCTGTACACCAGGCTGGCCTCAAACTCACAGAAATCCACCTGCCTCTGCCTTCCGAGTGCTGGGATTAAAGGTGTGCACCACCACCGCCAGGCTGCAACTCTGTCTTTTTATCACTCTTTTAAAATAAATATTACTAAGCATGTTAGGAATAAAATTCAAATATGTGTCGTGCTAAAACGAACCCCACTCACTTCTATAAGGTGTACTTATATTTGGTATTCCATCCCACCTTCTTCCCACATAGCTTAAAATATTTGCTAATGAAGATAGCATTGCCCCTGAGGATAGGGTCGATACGGGGGTCAGTATTGTACAAAGCCCTACCATGGTAAGGGTAGAGAACACAGACATCCAAAGGCATCCCCAACCAGAGAAAAGGGGAACCGCACGCATTTTTGTGGACAGTGACCTTTCCTTCCATCTTTTTAGCTTGTTGCCACTAAACTGAGTATCGTCATACAAGTCCCACTCACTCTTCAGAAACTCTCATGGCTGTTTTCAGACTTCCAGGGCACGGGACTTAGAACTTGTGGGCATTTCTGAAATGCATAGTCAAAACCAAACATAATTCCTTGGAGCAGTTATACTTACTGAAAGAGGAGATATATATATTAGTTTGTCAGATTGCAGAGGGCTCAGCCCATAGCCTGACTTTGGTCCCCGGATCCCACAACTTGTCAAGAGAGAACAGATACCTGAGGGTTCTCCTCTGGCCTCCACACACATGTGGCATGTGTACACCTGTACTCATACACACAAAATAAATACATAAATATTTTAAAAGCTACTATGTCTACTTATCTTGTATAGTAA